AGAAGAAGAAGAAGAAGAAGAAGAAGAAGAAGAAGAAGAAGAAGAAGAAGAAGAAGAAGAAGAAACAACAACAACACACCTTTCTTGATGATTAGTTGATCCCCTGGAATTTCACAGTACACTGAGCCATTAATTAACTATCAACAGACTGGATTCATGCAACATATGCTAAGTCACAAAATAACATGAACCAATGGTTAAAAGTAGCCATGTATGGGATTTGGATGCAGCCTCTAGATTTGTAATCATCCTAGTTAAGCCTTGTGTCCCCTCTAGAGTTGTACTCATCTTGTAGGGCTAGAAGTGAATTCCGGCTTCTGTTACTGCCGGTTTGCTCAGGGACGCGATAAAACAGGTTCGGGGGCATGGCCAGCCAAGTTACTACGTACTTGGCCGAACCGGTCCAAACCCACCTCTGGGCAGGGGTCTCCAACACCTGGTCCACAGACCAGCATCGGTCAGCAGCCTGCCAGGAACCGGGCCACGTAAGCAAGCAAAGCCTATTTTCACATGCACAGGATTCAGGCAGTGCATGAAACGATGCCCGCCCGCCCGCCCCCACACACAAACATGGTCCACAGAAAAACCCCTCTCCACTGAACTGGTCCATAAAAGGTTGGGGGTCACTGGTGTAGGGTGAACACTGCCATAATTTTGCAATTAGGAATGGGGATGAGGTGGGGTGGGGTGAGGCAGGAAACTACATCTTCTTGGAAGCAGGCAATGAAAAATAAGATTGAATAGCAGACCAGCCACTCTTCCATGTACTACAGAAGAGCCAACTTACCATCACTGCCTGAGTTTTTGAGGTGTTCTCCTAAATCACAGCCAAAAACCCTCTCCCTGAGGATCCCCCGCTGCTTCAGGCGCTGTTTGCTGGGCCTAGACTTCATAAACGTACGAAGGAACCCAATGAGCTTGCCATGTTTCTTAGACACTGGAAGAGAAGGAAAAACAGGGAGGATGGAGTGGAACTGAACTTTGGACCAGGGAGACAAAACTTTTCAATGAGCTTTCCTCCCAGCTGACCATTAGCTCCTGTCTTCCCTTATTCCACTGAGGTTATACTTTACCTGAGGTTGGGGACAGGAGGCCGGGAGTCCTGGGGAGGACACAGCTTGTCCCCTCTGCATCTACACAGGGAGACACGAAGAAAGTTGCAAAAAATTCAGAGAGAAGACAAAAATCCACATGGACCAGGTTGTGGGGGAAAGAGGATAAGAAAACCAAAAGAAGCACCTTTGGGGACAACCATCACCTGGATGACTGAGAATCTCCAGAGACACTAATCAGAGGGTAGATCTCAATGACCACTTATGGACTCTTGAATTCCTTGACCCTATGTTCTTCTGCAGATCTTTCCACCACCTCAAACTAGGGGAGAACTTTTCCACAATGGCAACTGCTTTATGTAGCGTTCTCCATACGTTCATTTGCTTTATCAAGGGCCAACTACAAATCACCCCATTGCTAGATAGGGGGGATGAAAAGAGACTGTAAACCGTTTAGTTCATTCCCTTAGATCAGGGGTGTCAAACACAAGGCCTGGAGGTTGCAGGCGGCCCGTAATGTGGTTGGATCTGGCCCATCGGCCCGCGTTTGCTTCAGCCCAGTCTACCCAACGTGAAGAGGAGAAACATCAAACCAGCATGGCTTTGTCCCAGTCTACCAATGCGAAGAGGAAACATGCCAGCAATTTGGGGAGTGGCGTCCAGTTGGCCACGCCCACCGTCGGCCATGCCCAGTGAGTGGCGTCAAGCTGGCAACGCCCACCTAGTTCAGTAATGGCAAACCTTTTCGGCACTGAGCGCCGAAAAGGGAGTGTGCATGCGTGCTCATCAGTGTTGCCATTCAGAAGAGGAGGGGACATGTGAGCGCCGGAAAATGAACTTCTGGATTCCAGCTAAGTCTTCTGCTAACTGGCGCACATGCACGCATGATGATCAGCTGGCCAGCGCCCATGCTCATCCCAGAAATCAGAGACCAGCTCTTCCAGTTTCCAGCCCCCAATGAAATTGAGTTGGACACCCTTGCCTTAGATTGATGCAGGAAGTCCAGAGCACAATGAGGCACTCACCTGGTTTGACTCCTGGACTAGGGCGTTCTGAGAACAGTTCCACACATTCGCTGGGAAAGAAACCCACCTGGGGGGAAAAAAATACAAAATCCCTCTAGGTACAAAGCCCCACCGTTACAGGAAGTCCTCAACCTTTAACCATTCGCTTAACAGCTGTTAACAAACTTACAACTGGCCAATAAGCTGCGACTGACGATCAGTTCTCATACTTATCACCACTGCTGCAGTGTACCCACAGTCACACAATCACAATTCAGGTGCTTGGCAACTGGCATGTATTTATGATAGTCGCAATGTCCTAACAATGTTTGGACATTGTCCAAACAATGTCAATGGGGGAAGCCAGATTTGCTTAACAACCCATGGTTTTAAAACAAAGGTTGTAAAATTGGGCAGGATTCACTTAACAACAGCACCCCTTAGCAATGGGCACTCTGGTCCCAACTGGGCCATAAGTTGAGGATTACCTATGTGGGAATTAACTCACTCTGCTCCTATTTAAATTCATTCTTTGTGAATAAGGAAGAATTTCCAGAAGGGGTAAATCCAGACAGATTTTAAACATCGATTGTATTGATTATGCACTGATCAACACTTTTTTCCACACCTTAACAATTGCTCAACAATTAATTTAATCATTTTTTTTAAATGAGAAAAGCGTTGCAATGGCCCAGAGGTGGAGCTCTCACCTCACAATCAGGAGGCTGTGAGCTTGATCCTAGATAGTGGCAGATATTTCTCTCTCTGTGCGCAATGAGAATATATCTGCTGTACCAAACTCCGCATTGGTGACAGGACGGGCATCCAGCCATTAAAACACTCTGCTAGCTCCATTCAGTTGCCCAAATTCCATGGCCAAGGGATTATGGGCTCGTTAAACGATGATGATGTTTTTAAAGGAGACTAAAGCATGTTTCACGTTAACTAAAGAGACTGGAGACTAAAACAGGTTCAGCATTAATTAAAAGACTGGGAAAACAGCAGAGTGCTAAACTGGAAAGGGAGCCAATTGCACTTTCAAAAAAAAAATCTGTTTCATTTGTGCTGAAATATTTTAGACAGCAGTTATCAATTGTTCCCCACTGATTCCTTCCTTCCAAAGGAATTCATATAACAGCAAGCAGGAGAAAGCTCCAAGGGGAAGTGACAGGTAGGAGAAAAGGCTCGGAATCCTGCTGATTTATATGTCACTAGCTGATAACCTGGCGCTGTCTGGATATTTATTTATCCCAACCCTCATTCCATGAATGTTGCCCCAATTTCTAATGTTGTATTTTCCCCTTTACCAGAGGGAGCCCTCTTGTGGAATACTGTGAAGCCGTTACCATGGCAACTCCACAACGCTGTACAGTAGAAGCCATTTTACAGCAGTACGGTTGAAGCCCAAGAGGTTGTATCTTACCCCCCACAGTATTTGTTTCCAGAGAGTAAGTAATCTGTGTACCAAGTTTGGTTGAAATTGTTCAAGGCATTCCAGAATTATGCTGGAACATACATACATACATACATACATACATACATACATACATACATACATACATACATACATGCATACATACAATTGCCCTATGTGTGGCCTTGTCCATTTTTCAGATAAAATGTGAACACAACAGTTCTTGTCCAATGTTTTCCAATACAGCCACACTGGTTGCAGAATTCAGTATCCGAAATCGACACCCCTGGAAATTAACCATGTTGGGAACCATGATTTAAGCCCAAGTGGCTGTGAAATGCATTGTTCATCAAGTCTAACCTGGAACGCATGTTTCCCACGCCACCAGCTCCTGTCCTCTTTGGGGGGCATGTCAATCACGGAAATGATGTCTCCAACCTGCGATAAACAGATTTAAAAAAAAAAAAAAAGATTATATATACCATGCTGAGA